ATAGGTTGAGTCTGAGCCCTAGGCTCAATGACCTGAGATCCATCAGTGTCCCTTTTCCACTCAGGAGTCACCATGACCCCACATCTCCAGCCCCTAGGGACTCTTAATAGAGGAATAGAGAGGGGATGTCTCAACCACTATGAGCACTTGGCTGCTGTTCAGAAAAAAAAGAATTTAGACCAGGAGATATTATTGAGGTAAAGATCGATAGACTAGGCTAATAAAAATTAATACCTTCAGCACGCAAACTATGATAGGCAGTGGATTAATATCCTTTAAATATAGAGGACATTTTGTAAGTCATTAACAAAAAGATAAATATAAGTAGAAAATGGGTAAAATGTTCAAGCTCAGTAAGTTAAAAATTGCAGATTAATGAGATACTTCAGCTATCAAATTAACAATATTTTTAAACATAATATATGATATTGGTGATGATGCACAGAAGCAGGCATTTGTTATACAATGCTGATAGTGTTAATATAAATTGGTATAGATTTTTGCTGGGGGTTGGGGGAATAAGAAGCCTACAGCTATTTTGTGATGTATATCAAAGCCTCAAAGTGTTTATATGCCCTGCTCCAGGAGTTTCACTTACAGAATTATTCAAAGCAATAATCATAGATTTAGCTTAAGAATGTTTATCACAAAATTTTCATAATAGGCTGGACTCAGTGCTCCATGCTTTTAATCCCAACACTTTGGGAAGCTGAGGTGGAGGTATTGCTTAAGGCCAGGAGTTGGAGACTAGCCTAGGCAACACAAAAAATTTTTTTGTAAATATCAGCTGGGTGTGGTGGTATGCACGTGTCGTCCTTGCTACTCAGGAGGCTGAGGCAGGAGGATTACTTGAGCTCATGAAATCAAGGCTGCAGTGAGCTACAACTGTGCCACTGCATTCTCCAGCCTACTGTTTTCAAAGAAAAAAAAAAAGAATTTTCATAACAGTGAACTATTATCAACTATTTAAGTGTCTAATAATGAGATTGATTAAAGTATGGAACATCCTTACAGTGAAATACTATGAAGTCAGTACATATGATATAGAAGAATATTTGATGATACAGAAAGATATTCATAACAGACCATTAAGCAAAAGTAGCAAGTTACAAACCATATGCACTGTGTGTATATGTTTTAAAAGTTACTGGAATTTCAGATTATCTTCATTTTAAAATAATAATTTGCCTTGAAACAAATAGGATTAGAGGACTTTTATAGAATAAGCTACTTATAGAGCATGATATATACAACTTAAAATTTTCCTCAAATATGTTATCACTCCAAGAATATCTACTAGAGCATTTATGATACTCATAATTTGTCTTCCTTTTTTAATCTTCTCCATATCCTGTATCCTCAACACAGTCATTTTCCATGAAATATTTTCAGATCTGGTTAGGTTCTATCCCAAAAGGGACTGACTGTTTTCATTTCGATCCTCTGTAGAAACACTAGTTTATGATTGCCTAGAAGGATAGGGATTATGATAAACCTGGCTCTCCATAAATAATTAAAAATTCTATTGGGGAAAATAACCTCAACATTATCCTCCAACAAACCTGTTACTACCAGAGCTGTTAAATGAAAAGAATGGTTGATTGATTGGACCTTTTCCCCTAGTTTTAGTCCACTGTGTCAGAGTTACGAATGATTTCAATCCAGAACATGTATGGAACATATGCCATAAATGGAGCCCACATGTCTGAAGCAGAGTTTTTAAAAAGAGAAAGATCAAATGTCTTTCTAAAGTTCTTATAATCAAAATGAGAGCCAAACATAGAAGCAAAAAATACACTTTTAACAGTTACTCAAAATAAATATAAATTAGCATAGGCTAACTGCATAAAAGTGCTAAGAGACTAGGATAATATTCGAGGAAATGACTAATGAAGGAAATGATTCACTTTCTTATAAGCAAATTAGTGTAATCTAAGAGTAGAATTTTAGGACACTTAAGAACAACAGAGTGGCATCCTCTGTGATTCATTCAGGGTACTTTGAGAGAAGAGATTAAACACTAAGGCGTATTAACAGGAATCAGTAGGTATCATCTGTGCATGCCTTCCAAACACATTTAAGTTTTCTCTACTTACAAGATGAGTTCAAAAATACTAGGTATATGGTTTAGTAACTGATTGCAAACAGAATTACAATAGGAAATAAAGAATGAAAGACAAGGCGAAACCTTTAGGAGGCCAGGCAAGAGGGTAGATGGGGCCACGTGTTTGACCTCGCCTGGTCAATACAGTGAGACCCTATCTCTACAAAATAATCTGTTTGTTTTTTTTTAATTAGCTGGATGTGGTCATTTCAGCTACTTGGTAGGCTGAGGCAGGAGGATTGCTTCAGCCCAGGAGTTTGAGGCTGCAGTGAGCTATGATTGCACCACTACGCTCCAGCCTGAGCAACAGAGTGAGAAGCTGTCCCCCAAACTCCCCCCACTCCTCGCCCCGCCACACACAAACAGACAACAGTAAAGGAAAACAGGAAATACAGGCAATCCTAGTCCTTGGTAATAGCTTTATATGTGACACTAAACTGAATTTGTTATGCAAAGGATTTTCACTGATTATAATCATAAGATTAAGGAAAAATAATACAAATGACTTTTATAGAGTGGTAGGCTAGAGGTTGTAAATTATGAACCAGATAATTTGGCATGATAATGGAAACATTTGGCAGTGGGATTACAAAAATGGGCTTTTGGTGAAGGTACCAGCTTAGAACTTTGTATCATTTCCACCACTCAGTTACTGTGTAAGTTTAGAAAAGTTACTTAACAAGCTTTAATCCTCACTTTCAACTAAGGGTAATAGTGCTTGCTAAGAGAATATTTAGAAGGATTTTAATAAGACAAATTGTATAGAGAACTTAACATAGGGCCTGATATACAGTAAACATTTAAGAAATGTTGGCCATCATGATCATTATTACTGGTGTTGTTACAAAGAATGTATTTGCTCAGCAAGCACTGACTGAGTTTAAGCTCCATGTGAGACGTTATGTCAATGGTGTAGAAAAAATTAGTAAGACATAGGCACTGTCTTCAAAGAGCTAACTGTCTATGCCCCTGGTAGAGGAAGCAAACACACCTGACCAACTATAAAGCAATAAGATTCATAGTTTGTATAGGAAGGGCTTTTAAGGCCGAAATAATAGAAAACAATATCTGTCTCCCTTGTGGCACTGTCAGAAGCAAAATGCTAATCCTGTATTGTAATGCTCAGATTCTTTTTTTTTTTTAAGAGGCAGAGTATCGCTCTATCGCCCAAACTGGAGTGCAGTGGTGCGATTTCGGCTCACTGCAAACTCTGCCTCCCGGGTTCTAGCAATTCTCCTCCCTCAGCCTCTCAAGTTGCTGGGATTACAGGTGCACATCTTCATGCCCAACTAATTTTTTATATTTTGGTAGAGACAGGGTTTCTCCATGTTGCCCAGGCTGGTCTCGAACTCCTGAGCTCAGGCAATCCACTTGCCTCAGCCTCGCCTCCCAAAGTGCTAGGATTACAGACATGAGCCACCATGTCCCGCCAGATTCTTTTTTTAAATTATTTTTTAAATTGAGGAATAACACACACAGAATGAACAGATCTTTTATGAATAGCTCAACTAATATTTACATGCGTATATACCCATGTAACTATAACTCAGATCAAAATTAGCACTTTTCCAGGATTCTAGAAAGTTCCCTTTTACCCTTTCCTAGTCGATACCTCCCCCAGAGCTAACCACTATTTGATTCCTGTCACCAAGAGATAAGTTGCTTTGAGGTTCATGTAAAAGGAATTACACAGTTAATGCTTAAGTTCCTGTCTGGGCAGAAAAGGGGCATAAGAACAGGACCAAGATAATCGATTTCTAAATAATGAAAGTTTTGCAAATGAATGTGTGTTTACCTATATCTCCAAATCAGATAACCCTACTACAGCTCTGTAAAAATCCAGGTGGGAATGAGAAAGAAGATAGAATATGATAATAAAGGTCATGGGGTTATCACCAATTAGAAAATACTATAAGAAAAGTTAATTAGACCAGCACAGTGACTTACACCTGTAATCCTAGCACTTTGGGAGGCTGAGGTGGGGGGATCACTTGAGGCTAGAAGTTTGAGACCAGCCTGGGCAACATAGGAAGACCCTATCTCTACATAAAATTTAAAAATAGCCAGGCATGGTGGCACATGTCTGTAACCATAACTACCTGGGGGGATAAGGCAGAATGATCACTTGAGCCCAGGAGTTGAAGGCTGCAGTGAGCTGTGATCACACCACTGCATTCTAGTCTGGGTAGCAGAGTGAGAACTTGTCTCTAAAAAAAAAATCAATTAGGCTGGGCACGGTGGCTCACACCTATCATCTCAGCACTTTAGAAGGCAGAGGTAGGAGAATCACTTGAGGCCAGGAGTTCAGGTCCTGCCTGGGCAACATAGTGAGACTGTGCCTCTACCAAATAAAAAAAAAGTAATAATAATAATGTGCTCCAGTAGTCCCAGCTACTCGGTAGGCTGAGGTGGGAGGATCACTTGAGCCTAGGAGTTGGATGCTACAGTGAGCTATGATTACAGCACTGCACTCCAGTCAGGATGACAGAGAAACACCTTGTCTCTAAGAATAAAAATAAAAAATAAAAATCAATTAGAAATTACATATTCTCCCATGAGCAGTGGTCAGCGAAGCCAACTAGAGAGGAGAGCTAGAAGAAGCTAGAAGGGCAATCTGGGGACATCTTCTTGCTCCTAAACCAGTCTGAAGAACTTTGCCACCAGCCTGGCAGAGGCTGCCTGGGCTTAGGTGACTTGTGAAAAAACTAAAGATCAAAAGCCTCTCACTGCAGACCAGCTCTGCCTGTTTTCCTCATACTTTTGTTGGGATTCACTACTTTGTCCGGTCCTAGAAATGTGCTGGACAAAGGAGGTGGGTGGGAGGGAGATGCCCACAGCATAAGGAAGCAACCAGTTAGAATGTTTACAGCAATCTTGTTTTTTCCCCTTTGTTTAGGTTACTACTTTGGGATTGTGATGATCGAAGCTATAGCTACTACGTTGAGGTTTCTACCAACCAGCAACAGTGGACCATGGTTGCTGACAGAACTAAAGTCTCCTGCAAGTAAGTTGTGTCTTTTTAGGAACTGATTCCTATGGAAAATGCAGTCTTCCCAGTGGATCAGAGGTTCCAAAGAAGACTGATAGAATCACCAGATTACATTCTTATTTCCAGGTTGAAAACATACTCCAGTGATCTTCTCTTCAGTTTTGACTATTAAATACTTATATGAAATTTACTTGGTGTCACCAAACAAGGTTTCTCTATTCTGTGCTGTGAATTTGACTGACACTTTTGAAAATGACATGTGTACCTTAATAGGGAAAAGAAAGATACTTTCCTTATGCAGTCCTCTCTCAGACCCCCCTCCCGCACCACATCTCACACTACTTTTTTAGCATTCTTTTCTCCCCTAGAGAACTTTGCTGACACAGTACATACTTTAGTAGTTATTATGGGGCTCTATCCTATTCCCCACCTTCATAGCATTCTCATAGCTAGTGTCAATATTTGTCTCAGCTCAGTGTTAACTATGCTGTTACTCAAACTAAGGAAAGCCTGGCGCCTTATTTCTCCGCAGGCAAACAGAGGCACTTAATGCATATGGCACTGGGGCTGTTTGGACTTGTCTGCTTTCAGCAGAAGATAGGAGAAAGGAGTCTGTGGGTTCTGAGCAGCCTGGAATCATGGTACATGAAAAGAGCTCAGTGCCTCTTTGTGTAGAACCAAAATCTCTAAGAGACAAGGTGGAGCAAATGGAATTCTCTTTTTCTTTTTCTTTTTTAAATCGAGATATCATTCACATACCATAAAATTCACCCGTTTAAAGTGTGTAAGTGAGGGGTTTTTAGTATATTCACAGCGTTGTGCAACCATCACTGCTATCTAATGTTCCACAACATTTTTATCACTCCAAAAAGAAACATCTTCCCCATTAACAGTCACTCCCTATTTCCCTTAAACTCTCCCAGCCCCAGCATCCAATAATCTACTTTCTTTCTTTTCTTTATGGATCTGTATACTGTGGACATTTCATATAAATGGAATCATATAGTATGTGACCTTTTGTTCCTTGCTTCATTCACTTAGCATAATGTTTTCAAGGTTCATTCATGTTATAGCATATATCTGAATTTCATTTCTTTTTATGGCTGAATAGTATTCCATTGTATGCATATACCATATTTGTTTATCTGTTCTTCAGTTGATAAACATTTGAATTGTTTTCATTTCTTGCCTGTTATGAATAATGCTGCTATGAACATTCCTGTACCAGTTTTTATGTGAACATATATTTTCAGTTCCTTTGGATATATGCCTGAGAGTAGAATTGCTGGGTCATGGGATAACTCTGTGTTTAACTTTCTGAGGAACTGCCAGAATTTTTCACAGCAGCTGTACCATTTTACATTCCCACCAGCAATGTTTGAGGGTTTGCATTTTTCTACATTCTCACAAGCACTTGCTATTGCCCATCTTTTTGACCATGGCCATCCTAGTGGGGATGGAATAGCATATCGTTATGGTTTTCATGTTCATTTCCCTCATGGCTAATGGGTTGAGCATCTTTTTGTGTGCTTACTTGGGGTGGGGACAGGGTTTCACTCTGTTGCCCAGACTGGAGTGCAGTGGTCCGATCGAGGCTCACTGTAACCTCAAATTCCTGGGCTCAAGCCTTCCTCCCAGCTCAGTCTCCCAGGTAACTGGGACTGTAGATGCTTGCCACCATGGCCAGCTAATTTTTTTTTTTTTTTTTTTGTAGACACGGCACCTCACCATATAGCCTAGGCTGGGCCAAGATTTCTTAACAGTATTACTGATGGATTGTTTGATGCAATGTCTGACACCATCACCATTATTATTGTAGTAATTATCAGCATAGATAGATAGATAGATAGATAATCAGCATATATATATATGTGTGTGTGTGTGTGTGTGTGTTAACTCACTACTGTGACAAACAAGCTTCAGTATTTCACTGGCCTAACACAATAATTTATTTCTCAGTCATGGGACCATCAGTGTGGGTGTTCTAGTTAAGTGAATTTCCCAAAAGTGACTGAGGAACTCAGGCAGCTTCTTTCTTGTGGTTCTGCCATCTAGGTCCTTTTCAGCATCAGCCGCGTTTAGCTGGCAGGAGAAAGAACAGAGAAGGTACACCTAGTTCTGAAAAGCCTCACTCTAGGAGTAGCATACATGCCTTCCACTTACATGCCACTGAGATGAACTAGACACATTGCCATACTAGATGCTAATATGACTGGGAAATAGAGTCAGTTCCTGCCTGGATGGCCACTTCCCAGTGGAACATAGATCTTGTTACCATCTCAGCCTCTTCTTCCAGAAGCAGAGGTAAGAGTTAAACCCAGGTTCTTGCCACTATACCACATTGCTTCTCAGGACTCAAAACACTACTAAAGAGGACTGTACTAACCTAGATGATGAAAAGGGGGAAACAAAGTGGTTAACTTATTCCAAGCTCCTGGAACCCTTTTTATATGACAGGACGGCCTCCAGGGCCCATGAACAACTAACTGTGCATCTGTCTTTCCAGTCTTTGCTTATTAGGTCCATAGCTCTTAAACCAGACCTTGTGCTTCCTCAAAGCTTGTCATCTTATACATGTCTTACTGGTTACTGCCACCCATCTCTTTTGTCATTTCATTTTGTAAACTGGATTCCTCTTCTTATTTGTGTCCCTCTGTTAAAGGTTGACATGCTTTGGCTCTATGTCCCCACCCAAATCTTATCTCGAATTATAATCCCCACATGTCAAGGGAGAGACCTATAATCCCCACGTGTTGAGGGAGGTGACTGGATCATGGGGCAGTTTCCCACATGCTGTCCTCGTGATAGTGAGTGAGTTCTCATGAGATCAGGGTGTGTTATAAGTGTTTGGAAGTTCTTCACTCTTCTCTCTCCTGCTGCCTTGTGAAAAAGATCCTTGCTTCCCCTTAGCCTTCTGCCATGATTGTAAGTTTCCTGAGGCCTCTCCAAACATGTGGAACTGTGAGTCAATTAAAACTCTTGTTTGTAAGTTACCCAGTCTCAGATATTTCTTTATAGTAGTGTGAAAACAGACTAACATAAAGGTGCGTAACAGTGCAAAAAAAGCCCATAACAGTGTGAGCTGTTTTTTGTTTGTTTGTTTGTTTGTTTGTTTGTTTGTTTGTTTGTTTGTTTTGAGATGGAATCTTACTCTGTCACCCGGACTGGAGTGCAGTGGCATCACCTTAGTTCACTGCAACCTCTGCCTCCCAGGTTCAAGTGATTCTCCTGCCTCAGTCTCCCGAGTAGCTGGGATTACAGGTGTGTGCCACTGCACCAGGCTAATATTTATATTTTTAGTAGAGACAGGGTTTCACCATGTTGGCCAGGCTTGTCTTGAATTCCTGACCTCAGGTAATCTGTCCACCTCTGCCTCCCAAAGTGCTGGGATTACAGGTGTGAGCCACTGGGAACCCCACAGTGTGGATTTTTAACAAGGGCTGGTTGACTAACTGTTGACCAGGTACATGTCATATTCGTTTTGTATTTAGTTAAATGGGACTTTTTTGGTTTCAAAGTCTTGTTCACTTACTAGATCTTCTTCTAGTAGCTTTGCATTAAGTTAACATCTTTTTCCCTTTTTAAATTTTTTCTTTTCATTGGTGGATTTAAATAATTTATATGTTTTTAAGTTTGTATTTTAGCACTTGGATGAGACAGCAGTGTTTTACAAATTAATAAATAAGTAATACATTAGAAGAACAAATGTAGTAATAAGAAGGCAAATGCCTGTTAACCCTCTAAGAATCAGTGGAACCAGAGGTTATGATTTGATGTTTATGAGTGTAACTTGAATGTATTGTACCTCCCGTTTTCAAGTTAGGCCTTAAGAAATATAGAAAACATGCAAATGATAAAAGGCAAAAGGTTTTTCTTTTTAACTAATATGCTACAGAGCAGACCTCAAGAGAGGACTCTATTATAGTTTCGAGAATTATAGTCTGCTCTTTATTGAAATAGAGTGCCTGAGTTTATAAATGAAATTATATGGAGTCCTTAAAAGATCATAGCTCCACCGCTTGATAGCATTCTACCTAGTCAAGAAATCAGAACATAGATTTTTTTTTTTCAGACAGAGTTTCGCTCTTGTTACCCAGGCTGGAGTGCAATGGTGTGATCTCGGCTCACCGCAACCTCTGCCCCCTGGGTTCAGGCAATTCTCCTGCCTCAGCCTCCTGAATAGCTGGGATTACAGGCACGTGCCACCATGCCCAGCTAATTTTTTGTATTTTGAGTAGAGACGGGGTTTCACCATGTTGACCAGGATGGTCTTGAACGTCTGACCTCAGGTGATCCACCTGCCTCGACTTCCCAAAGTGCTGGGATTACAGGAGTGAGCCACCACACCCGGCCAAAATATTTTTATAGTTGACAGGTTTTAAAAACTAAAAAAAATAAATGGTCAGAAGCAGGCTGGGTGCTTGCTTTGGGTGAAAACCCGTCTCTACTAAAAATACAAAAATTAGCAGGGCATGGTGGCAGGCGCCTGTAATCCCAGCCACTCGGGAGATTGAGGCAGAAGAATTACTTAAACCAGGGAGGCAGAGGCTACAGTAAGCAGAGATGGCGCCACTGCACTCCAGCCTGGGCGATAGAGCACTGACCACTCTTTAAAAAAAAAAAAAATTTACACCTCTTTTATTAATTTATCAACTTTACTAACTTCTTGCTATTAAAAAAAAATGAGAAATTTAGCTCTCTTAACCACTTCTCATTTTTGTTATGTTTTTAGTTTTGTTACTATTTATCTTTTAAAATTAAACAACATACTTAAACCTCTATTTTTTGATCCATCATTTCTTGACTCTTAACTACCGTGATGAAGATAGTACATTTTCCTCTGTTTTTCCCTTTCCACTTCCCATCTTTCATTAGCTGCTTTACCATACTGACATTGTTTGTGATACTTATTTTTTGTCCTATAACTTAAAGTTAAATCATCTATGTGTAGACTATACATTGATCCTGAAAAGGGAAAAACACTAAGAACTCATTATAATATAATGATTGTATAA